AGAAGACCATGGTTCAATTCCCAGCATCCACATGGCAGCTATGAACCATCCTTAACTCCAGTTCCAGGGGAATCGGAAGCCCTCTTCTGACCTCCGCAGCATTGGCATGATATGGTGCACTCACATACATACAGGTGATACACTCATACACATAAAATTTAAAAATTTTTAAAAAGACCAAAATAGCTGGGCATAGTGGCTCATGCCTTTAGTCCCAGAGTAGGAACTCTGCGAGTTCAAAGCCAGCCTGGTCTACATAGTGAGTTCCAGGCCAGCTGAGGCTACAGGGAGACCCTATCTCAAAAAGACAAAAAAAAAACCAAAAAAACCACATTTAAGACCTGTACAATTTAGTAAGACTTTGTCTCCAAAATAAAAAGTAAAAGGAGAGAGTGCTGGCAACGATGGGGCTCTGGTAGAGCAGCTTAGCATGCACAAGGCCCTGGGTTCAATCCCAGCAGCACACATACACACACGCAAGCACAGAACGGGACGATATCAGGTAACAGCCTGCAGGTCCTGTCCAAGTCTGAGGAACTGAGTTTGGATGCCCAGAGTCCACATACAGCCGGACACAGGAGCATGTGCATCAGTGACCCCAGATCTCCTGTGGTGCGCAGAGGCAGAGACAGATCTCCAGATGTTTGCAGATCAACTAACCCTGGCCTATGAAGTGGGGAACAAGGTTGTCCTCTGACCTCCACATGTCCCATAGACATGTACCCCCACATTCACACACAAACATGCACACACACATCACACAAAATTAAAATATGTAATTAAAAATCATAAGCCAGGCATGGTAGTGCATACCTTTGATCCCAGTACTTAGCAGGCAGAGACAGGCCGATGTTTGTGAGTTTTGAGGCCAGCCTGGTCTGTACAGTTCCAAGTACAGGGAAACCCTGTCTCAAAAAATAAGTAATGATGATAATGATAATAATAATAATAACACAAGGACAGTGCTGGCCTGGAGAGTGCTCCTGTTCCTTGGGTTTTCTAGTGCTGTGCCTTTGCCATTCCTGGGGCTCTCCACCTTAAGAGACAGCAACGCTAGGTTATCTTGACTCTGCCACCCTGCACCATGTCCTGTGACACCACAGTCCTGCCCCTGTCCCCTCCTCATAGCCCCTGCCACAGAGAAGGAGCCCCAGTGCCATAAAGTAAATGTGTTAAGCTGGGCATGCTGGCACACGCCTTTAGTCCCAACACTTGGGAGGCAGCGACAGGTGGATCTCTGTGAGTTCAAGGCCAGACACACCTTTAGTCCCCACACTTGGGAGGCAGAGGCAGATGGATCTCTGTGAGTTCAAGGCCAGCCTGGTCTACATAGCAAGTTTCAGGCCAGCTGGGGCTACAGGGAGGCCATGTCTCAAAAAGACTAAAATAAAATAAAATGAAGATTCGGGTTTGATTTCCCAGCACCCACACGGCAGCCCACAACTGCCTGTAACTCCAGCTTCAGGAGACCCATGCCCTCTTCTGGGCTTTTGCACATAAACTCATGCAGGCACACATACAAACACATAAAAATAAATAACAAGCCAGGCGTGATGGCACACACCTTTAATCCCAGCACTCAAGAGGCAGAGGCAGGCGGATCTCTGTGAGTTCAAGGCCAGCCTGGTCCACATAGTGAGTTCCAGGACAGCTGGGGCTACAGGGAGACCCTGTCCCAAAAAGACCAAAAAAAAAAAAAAGTAATTAACAAGGAAGGAAGGGGTTAAATGATAAATTAGACCAAGCTGAAGAGAGAAGAGAATTAATTCCCTGAAAGATAGATCTAAGGAAATCACCCAGAATGAAACTCAGAGAAGCAGAGTTGGAACATCCAAGTGCTGAGACCAGGCATGGTGGTACATCCCAGGAAGCAGGAGGCCGAAACCAGAGGACTGCCACAGGTTTGAGACTAGTCAGGCCTAAAAAAGAAAGAAAACATAAAAACTGGAAAATTCAGCTCAGAAATAGGAAAAGAAGGATTGCACTGTCCTGACAGGAACTTCGGTGCCTGTGAGGTGGCTCAGCTGGGGAAAGCAGGTCTACTGACCATGCCCAAGTTCAATCTGCAGAGCCCACACGGTGGAAGGAGAGACCTGAGAAAACTGACTTTTGCAAGTTGTTCTCTGAGCCCCATGTATATATGTGTGCATACTGCACACACACACACACACACACACACACACACACACGTGCAATGCAGAAAGTTCAGTAGAGTTTCACACCTCACGAGCTCTATTTCTTAGCCATTACTCATCCAAAAGTCCTCTTTTCACCCAATCCTCTTCCCCCCGTGCCTCTGCTGTGTGAGTTGTTGGGTCTCAGGCTCTGTTCAATTTTTCTTCGCTGTTTTTCCTTCCTGGTCCTCAGATGACATAACCTCTATGCATTTTCATTTGTTTGTTTTGGTTGTTTTGAGATGGGGTTTCACTGTGTAGACCAGGCTGACCTTGAACTGACAGATCCACCTACCTCTGCCTTCTGAGTGCTGGGATTAAAGGCATGTGCCACTGCACCCAGTCTCCTTAATTTTACTCATTTATTTATTCATTCATTCACTTAATGTGTATGTTTTGACTGCATATATGTTAAGTGCATGCATGTCATGCAGTGTTGGTGGAGGCCAGAAGAACCTGGCCTGAATCTCCTGGAGCTGGAGTTACAGATGTTTGTTAGCTGCCACTTGAGTGCTGGGATCCAAATCTAGGTCTTCTGCTAGAGCAGCCAGTGCTCTTAACCACTGAATCATCTCTCCAGCCCCACATCTTAGTAATTTTAAAATCTTAAAATGGTACAGAGTACGTCCTCTGATTGGAGCAGAACGAAGCAGAAAACCAATGACGAAGAAAGCTGGAAAACTCACACGT